ACTAAAAAAAATTTTTTTTAAATTTTACTAAGTTTTAAATTACTAAGTTTAAATAATATTACTAAGTATAAGTATATAAAAAAAATAATAAAAAGAAAAAAATCTTAGTAAAATATTAAATATATAAAATAAAAAAATAAATTAAACTATAATTTATAATTAAATATTTTTTTAAAAAAAATAAATATAACTAAAGAAATTTATTATATTACAAAAAAATTATTATAAAAAGAAGTACAAATAAAAATATATAATAAATGAACTTCTAACTTTAGAAGAATTTAATAAATAAAAACTAGATATATATATAATAGTAAACTATTAAATATATTAAAAGAAGATACAAAAACACAAACATATTTAACATTATAAAAAACAAATTTTTAAAAAAGAATTCAAAAATAACTATAATAATAATATAAAAAAAATTAAAAAAAATAAAATAAAATCTCTTTATATATAAATAAAAAATATATATATATAAAATAAATATGAAAAAAACTTAAAAAAAAAAAAACTTAATTAAAAAAAATAAACTACTTAATAACAAAAAAGAAAAAAAACATATAAAAAAAATTAAATTAAAAATTATAAAACAATATTAAGATTTAGGATTTTATAATTTTTTATCTATGCAATGTATTGCTACTTATAAGATAATGTGTAATATTAAATCAAAATAATAATACAAATATGTTAATTTAAAGTTTGGGTTAGCATTAAACTAGAATTAGATATGATTTTAGAAAAAAAGCTTTTAATATAAAATTTTGCAAGAAATTTGTTTAATTAGAATATAAACAACTCTTCCTAATGATTACTTAAACTAAATCAGCACCAAAACAGTTTAAAGAGTTATGCTTTTAAAATGATGATATTTTTGATTCTGTTTAGATATATAAAACAGATTGTTGCTAATGAACTAGAAGTATATAAAAAAACCAAGATACAGGTGACTCTTCTGGTAGTTTGTGTTGAGGTCAAGTCTTGTTTGTTAGTAAACTTTATAACATGTTTAATATCCAAACCAGAAGAATATTTCAGAAACAATAGAGGAAAACTCTGGTTAAAAATTATTAAAAGCTTAAAAATAAATGAATAGCTAGAAATACTCTCATTGGTTTGGTTTTTTACATATCATATTTGTTGACCTTCTTTATCTATTTTATTTTTCTTACTCAAAAGTAAAGAAATTGACTTCATCTTTACAAAAGATCATCATTGTTTACTACTTCTTTTTTTGGACAGTTATATATTGTAACATAATATAATAGAAACACAACAATCATGTGTATAGCCTAACATATGGTATAATAAAGAAATGAAAAAGGATTTAAGTTGAAGGACTATAGCAAATTAGAGATATATAATAATTTCTAAAATTATATATATATAATTTTTACTTCTTTAGTACAGGTTAAAGTGTAGTTAGATTCTTAGTACAAATTTAAAGTACTAGTGTTCTAAATAGTCATGAATAAGATGTGCTCCTCAACAATTTTTTTTTTCTTTTTTCTTTCTATATTTTTTTTTAGTTTAGTTTAGTGTTTTTTTTCCCTTCTTTTACTTCTCTACAAGAAAGTGTTATCAGATTAGTAATACTTTATTGTAGGGCAGTGGTCAGATGAGCCCTTTAGATCCTCTTTTTTCTTTAAGAATTTAGGCAACTAGTGTGGCAGATCGCTTATAAGTGCTCATAGAAGTAAATATGGGATGTTAACTTAGCACATTAAGTCTAAAAATGTTTATTAATATATAAATATGAATCTTAATAAAAAGTATTAGCAAGACTGCCAAAGTGAAAAAAAAAAATTAGAACATAAAATGTAGTTTCATATGCAAAATCTTGAGTTACAGATGATTATTCAAAAAAGACAATATTTGCTTCGATTTTACATTACATCTGATCTTGCATTCTAATTGGTCAATTAAGAGTAGCAATATATTACTATTGTGATAAATTACAATATTCTAAGATTTATTATAAAAGAGAAAAAAACTTTTTATTATAAATTTTGTATAATCAAATAAATAATCTATTTTTATTTAAAGTAGTACAACAAGTTGCACTTAAATACTATTAAAATAATCAGATAATGCTAAAATTAGTTATTAAATATCTTTATGTAATTGCAAAAATAATTTTAAAAATTTTAATAAAATATTAATATGACTAATTAAGGTTAAAAAATAAAAAACTAAAGTTAATATTTATAAAATATTTATTGTAATTATTTCTATTTTTATTAATACTATTTCTTATATAATCTAATTCTAATTAATAATAAAATCAAAAGATCAAAAATTAAATATTTTATATAAAAAAAATAATAACAAATTTTTATTTATAATAATTATTTAAACAAATAAGAAACTATAATAAATAAAAATATTTAAATATTAAAAAAAAAATTAGTTTTTTAATTTTAAATAAATATTTTTTAATATTTAATCAATAAACTTTTTTTTTAATTCATAAAAGGTTATAAAATCAAAATAAACTTAATAAATCTAGATAAATAATTATTAAAAACTTTTTACTAAAAATTAAAAATAAAATTAGCTTAATTTTTTTTATAAATATAAGTGCAGCTAATAAAAAACCTTGATTTTGTTTTTTTATAAACTTAGTCATAATCTAAAATATATATAATCTATATATTAAGTTCTATATATATAAACAGAAATGAAAATTCTACTTAATTAATAAAACATAATGTTAGCTATTATTTATATATCTTATATGTTTTAGGTCATAACTAAGTTTAGTAAAAAAACAAAATCAAAACTTTTTTTAGCTGCATTTATATCTAAACTTTAAATAAAAACTACAATTTAATTAAATTTTTTATTTTAATTTTATAAACATAAAATTAAAATAAAAAAATAATTAAGTTTGATTAGGTAAAAACCAAATAATCTTTATTCAAAGTACTGTTGTTAAACAAATTATTTTTACAAATAACAAAAATTGAAACTAAACTTAATAAAAGTCAAAACTAATAAAACTTTGCAAATAACAAAACTTTAACAAAATAATAAAACTTTAACAAAACTTTAATAAAACTCCTAATAAAACTAAAATCTTTAAAAAAAATCAAATACAATAAAGATTAAATTTTTTAAACTTTTGAAAAACGAAATTATAATAATTAATTAAAATATTTTAGATTTAACTATTAAACAAAGTATGTAAAATAAATTATAAATTGATAACATAGTATTAGTACTTCTAATTTTCAATCACAAAGTTATAAGTTTAAATTTAAAAAGTAATAACAACTTTGCTAAGATTACAATTAAAAAAGATCTACAAAGAACTTTCATTTAAAATAAAACCAAAACTTATACAAAAAAAATATAATAATTAACATAATCATAAAATTAGAAATAACCAAATAAAATGTAATTTATTAACAAATAGCATTAATACTAAGAGAACTTGATTTAAAATCTATAACAATAAAATTAAAAACATTGAAATATATGAATAATCTAACTGATATGTTATGTAAAGTTAGAAAACTGCAATCCAAAAAGGATAGTAGATCTTACATTACAAAACCAAAAACCAAAAATGTCATATAACAGACTTGATAAAATCTGAGTTATTTTACAAGTTCAGTAACATATAAAGACCATACATCATCCAATAATTTTTGCAAAATGATAACCTCTGATTTTTAAAAGATGTAACAGATCTTAAAGGTGTCTAAGAACCTTCAAAATAGTAAAAAGAATTGAAAAAAAGTATATAAAACCTTTATGAGTGTACTTTCTCTAAATGCACTCTCTCTAAATGCACACTTAAATTCAAATCAAATATATACATGATCTTAATAAATGTACTTTCTCTTATTATTCTCTAGGTGCATGTCATTAAAGTTCGGTCCCAAGAGTGTGCACTTGTGGAAGTTTTACTGTATTTAGACCTGAATTTAAGCGTGCATTTAGAGAGGGTATGCACTTATAGAAGTTAATACTTACCTTTTTAAATATATACAGTAAAAAGGTTTTAATTTTCTTTAATTCCTTTTCTATTCTTGTTTCTTTACTAGTTTTCTTATCTTTTACCAATTTTATTACCTTTTTTCAGTTTCGCCACCTTTAGCAATTTCTCCCGTTTTGCCATTTGAAATTTTTTTTTGTCAAAACCTCTAGGTTTTGCCTAACAACGCTAGTTCAAAGTTTAGATATGTTTTTTTTAAAAAAACTGTTCTATTTTTTATTGCATATCTTTCAATAAACTTTTCACCATTACGAAATTTAAATTTTGAGAAATATACGGATAATATAGATGTCGCTGATTGAAAAATATGATAGATAACCAATTTAGAATCCACTATCATTATAATTACGTATCACGAAAATCACGTGGTCCCGCCTAAGGATGAAAAACCCGATTTAAAAAGGTGATGATTAAAAGTCCGATTAGTTAAAATTGAGTTTAAATATATTAAGAACATAATCATCTCCTGTTTTTAATGATTCCTAGTCACCTTTTCGCAAAGCGTTATAAACGCAACTGATCGAAAATATGAAAAAATAGAAGATCCGGATGGGGTTAAGACCAGGTTTTGTATTTGGGTTAGGTTATGGTATAAGTTTCTACTACTAAAACCTAAATTTCACGTACGGCATTTTAGGACTATAGTTAACAATCGTCTAAAGTCCAATTATCAATTCAATGCCATACAATATAGCTAAGTTTGTTGAATAAGTAATACTGAACATTAACAGATAATTGGCAAATAGTTGACAGATGCGTTAATAAAACGACTTAACGCAAATAACAAACTTTTATTCATCTATTATTCATCTATAAATGAGCGTTTAAAAATTATGATTTGTTTTTTTTTTAATAAAGCTTTTCAAATTATGAGATTATATTAAGAATTCTATATTAAAGTTTTTAATAACTAGTATATATATAATAAAAAAGTTCGTATGTGCAAAAAAAGAAGTTCGTATGTGCAAAAAAAGAATGATGGTCATTAGATTTACCAATCTAGTCTACCCCCTTTTCCAGGAGCGAAGCTTCCATTCATTGATCCACGATACAAATCTTTGATAACTTTCCCATCCAAAACCGTAGTCTCAACTATATTCTTTGCATGGCAAGGAATTACTCGTCCATACCATATACCTTGACCATCACGGTAAACTATAACATTACCGGCAAATTTGTGACCTAATTTTGAAAAAAAAAACAATAATAGGTTATATTTAACACAATATACAATAAAATAAATAAATAAGTAAAACGAATAAATAACAAATGAAAAATACCTCCAGTATGACTGCTAAGAAATACAGCAACACCGTTACTATTACTATCTAAATCTAAACCTTTTTCTTTTAATACCTTGTTAAATTCATCTTTTAGTATCGGACCAGTGATACCACACCTTTTATCACGACGTTTATGAGAACATATAACGATAACAGCTTTATATGGCATTGGCTCGACAGTAAAATTGAAAGAAGGAATGTATTGATCTTTTTCATCCAGAGTAGACGATAAAAACTTTTTATAAAATTCCGAAGCATATTTTGGAGATACATTACGAACAAGTATATTATCAGGAAATAAAAGAATGTCATTTCCTTTAGAAAACGAAGGATCATTATCAGAATTTTGCCGATCACTATTGGTGATGACTATTCTTGGTTTTTCTATTTCACCATTTGCGTCAACATTAAAATAACCAGCTTCAACTTTATTTTTCTTTTCTTTTCTTGGAGAATCTTTTTTTTTTTCTTTTTGAGAACATTTTTTCCCGGAATCAAATTTGATGACCTTATTTAAATTAGCAGCCAAACTTCCTAAATCATCTTCAATATGGGAATTCCAATCAGATTTTCCCGTTGATATTAATACATGTTTTATATATGGTTTTACGGTTCCTTCTAAAGTGGATTTATAATCTATCTTTAGGTAAGAAGGGTAGCTTGAGTGATCAAAGCATGGATCTGCACAACTAATGCAGGGATCATCATCCAAATCGGCTAGCGAAACAGTTTCGTTGCAAGAAGGAATAGTCTGCAACTGCTTTCCAAAATATTTATAAGTATCAAGTTCTTGAGAAGGTTGATGTTCCTCGTTTGGAATTTGGATTGAATTTGACATTGTAGAACGAGGATAAATTGTAAGTTGGATAATATCCGATATTCGAGAACCTACACGACGAAATAAAGATTTTTCCATTTTTTTTTTTTTTGAAAAAGGTTCAACTTAGATGAGAAGGTATTTTTATTTTAAATTATGGGATATGGATGAAAAAGTTACGTTAGTTGGACTAAAGAAGCAAATGAGATCATAATCAATGGTTTTACATCATATTTATACAAGCTTGCACAATATATACATTAAAATAATATACATAATAGGCACATGCATAAGTTATCAGATTCATGTCATAATAATGATTGGTAACTCAGTTCAAGATGACTTTATCAGATCCGAATTCAGCCATAGTCTGTGACTCAGTTCCAAATTGGGCTTATCAGATAGAAATTGACGATTCCGGTCATTATGTTCATCAGCATTTTTTTTTATTGTAACTTCCCGAACAATCCTTTGTATTGTCGTACATATCGCATTGCATTAAAGGTTTTTTTAAAACTATTTTTAATTTTTTTTAACAAAATAATTCTATTTAGTTGATGAATTCTTCGTTAAGAATTTATTAATTCATTCGCGTGACCACTTGTTTTAATGTTTTAATGAGTACAAAATTTGTACTTAAAATATGCAAGATATATAAATATAAATAGTTAACAGCATAGCCACTTCGACTTTGTACATATCATCTCTTTATTTTACTGAGCCACAAAAATAAATTATTGGTCCATTGTGGATTAACTTATTAAGAAACCTTTGGTACGTACCGGTACGTACGTATCCGTGAAAGTATGAACTTCTCGATACAAAAACCTACACAGATTATGACAGATCGTCCAATTTAACGAATAATATCATATGTAGCACAGTATGTAGAAAACGAACACTTTTTTATTTAAAAACGAAAATAGTTAGATTCATATTGCACGATTTTACTGGCTAATCAGTCAAAGATCAGACTGATTAATAAATTCGATCATTTTGACTCTTAAATTTTACTACGTACGTAATGTATAGGATTAGTTATATATTCAACCAATTAGCATCACGGAAGATATGTTCACGTGACAGATAATAATCACTTTCTGATGTTATTTCTGTATTTCGTTAACAAGATTTAATGCCAACTTGAATGGCATAGCTTTGTGTTACATCCCTACAGTGACAAGTAAGCAGGTTGAATAATCGAGTAAACCAATTAAAATTTAAAAATTTAAAAATTTAATCATACGATCCAATTAAAATTTAAAAAATTAAAAAATTAATCATACGATCGATATAAAAAGGGGACAATTTTGTAAAAATGTCATATGATTTTTACTATCGGAAGCCAGCTTTTTATGTAATTTTATGTAATAGAAAACGGTAAGTTACTAATAAAGTAAAATAGATATATTTAAAAAAGTAAATACCTTGTTATGTTATCATGCCCAATAAAATACTGTATACTAATAATATGAATGGCAGAATGCCAAGACCATGTGATATAAAATAATATGCTCATATAAATATGTAATTCATATTGCATCTCTTATGTCTGCATTGCAAAGAGGAATCTGGTCCCCGTATAGAAAGTCGTACGTAGGATCTTTGTGCAATAATAACAATGGTGAAAAATATGCATCATGGAATTTTAGTTATCGTTATATATTATTTTAAGTCGATAATTGATGTTGCGGATCAAAGCGAAGTTCATCTCAAAGCTTTTTTTTTTGTATTACCACAAACCAGTTTTTTTGCTCAAATTAATTTAACTAATTTCGATACAACATTTGCATATCGATATTAACATTAAAGGCTAACGGTTTCCCGTATAGTTTATGTAGTGAACTACCAAGTTTGGTGATGAAATGGCTGTATTACTAAATAAAAAAAAGTTAGCATGTTTGAAAAGTTAGTTTTCCAATATTGTATCGCTATTAAAGCTAGTGAATTAAAGGTTATTCATTATATGAGCTAGGTGCTGGGAAAAGGGAGGAAAATGACAAAAAAAGTTCAAAAAATCAATTTTTTATATTATAAATCTTATAATAAATCATAAGAAAATGTAAACTTTAAAGAGCTATACTGAAAAATTTCATTAATACAACTACTTTTGTATCTTAAGTAAAAAATGATTCTAATTTTATTCTAAATTGATACGTATAAAAAAAACTCTTGAACAAATTGTCATTTTCGTCCCTTTTTCCAGCACCTAGCCCATATATTAATAATAATTTCAAATACTATTCGGAGTACATAACTCCGGTGTCGTGTAACCAACCTTTTACATCTAATAATATAACCTATTAATAATGCTCTTAAACGTTTTCAGAATTTATGAGCTATGACAATAAAATGGTTAATTAGACGTACAAACTTTATTATAAATAAATCTATTTCCTTACCTTAAATCTATTGAAGAATCTTCTATTAATTAATACGTAGGACACATTTAAATGCTGTTTCTTTCTGTTTCTTTTGTATATGTTGTAAGTGGGAATGGAATTTCCTAGTTAAATTAGGGTTAAGGTTAGGTGTACATATGATAAAATCAACCACAAACGGGGTTTTATATATAAATTCTGAATCCACTTAAATTCCGTTTCCACTTGCAACATATATACCCATGACTTTAAACTATGTTTAGTAAATATTACACAACGTTAAATTAGTCATTTAACTCTATACTCACTCTAGACCAAAAACACTAATCATGGTAAAACGAAATATTTTACCAAGATCGTCAACCAAATTTCACGTTCACTAACCGAAAAAATTCTTTTGGGCGTCCAGATTAGGGTTAGAGAAACCTTTCATCAGCATGAAAAATGATTCTTATGCAAATTATTGAACAATAAGAGATGCTCTTAAAACAGGCTTTTTGTTTTGAATCTTTCTGACCATATCGATATTACGTTACATCAAAGCAGAGATTTTTTTAGAAATGCTCGGAATTTATTATGAGGTAATTGAATAATCAACTTTTTTTTACTTTGAAATTTGTCTATGGAAATAATATTTTTGATACTATTATAACCAAATTTTTAATCTCGTCTAGACTTAACCACAATTCTAAACCAGAATATTCTTATATAGTAACTTTTAAAATAGGTTAACGTTAAGAGATTAAAGGGATTTAATAGTAGAAATTACCGGAAGTCAATATAGTTTTTCTATAGAGTTGGAATGCAGCTAGCTTACAATGACAAGTGTTTTTTATGGCAAGTAAATATTTCTTGAGTTTCTAACAAAGCTTATAGAACAAATTATTCTGGTTCTAATAGTGGTAGAATTATTCAAATTGGTTTGGTAGACCGTGAATTATTGAGATTTTCTTTACAATTATATGACTTTTACAGATTTCAAGCATTCCAACTAGTGTTTGGAACCGGTTTTATTTTTCTTATGTTAAAACCGGTTTTAATCGGATTTAACATAAGAAAAATAAAAC